CTTTTCTAATGGATATACAAAAAAGAAAAGGAATGAAATAAGCAATCAAATATGAAATGGAGAGTACATAGAAATTAATGAGCATTCACATAAATAATCACATAAATGTACAAAACTTGATCACATGATTTGATAATGGGAGGGTACCTAGATATGCAATGAGAAATATATTATGAATTTCGCTCACATGAGTTGAAAAATCATGTATATATCCATCATTATTCCATTTTAATATAAGAATATACAAAAAATGAATACATGATGTATGCAATTTTTTTAATTATTAAAATATATCATAAAATAATCGACAATCGAATGAGTTCATACAACATAATAGCTCATAAAGTCTCTCTCTACACATTCAAGTTAGGGATTTTTTTATCTCTCTATCCATTTCTTTCTCTCTTTCTTTACACATCTCTCTCTACAAGCATTATTTTTAGAAGTATTGCTCTGTAGATAATGTCAGAGCTCTCTCACTCTCGCTCGCTCTTTTTCCCTGACACATAGTCTCTCTCTCGCTATTGACATGACTGAGATTGAGGAAGTTCAAGCATCGTGCATGTAACTTTTAATTTACAAACCCTTAAAGATATAAAACAATACATATTTCAAGTGTTTTCCAAGATTTTGCCATTCTCATTTGTTAAGTCCTTTTCCCAGTTCCAGTTCTTTATTTGAGAGACTTCTATAAACATCATCAAAACGATGTATGAGTAAAAAAACCAATCATTCCTATCGTTAGTGAGTTTTAAAATATGTAAAAGGCCACAACAATATATTTAAAAATAAAAATCTATTAGATTTTGGAGTCCTATGCTTCACAAAGCTCCCAAACAAACACTAATGATAAAAGCTCGAAGAGGAAAACTCAAGGTCAGCCAGCTAACGAAGGCCCAAGAAGCATCCACCCTCTTTATCGCTCTCTCACTCTTGCTAGTGCACCTAAAATCAAGATGTTTGGTATTTGTCTCTCTCTCTAACTGACCTCTCCCACAACCCACCCATGTTCCAACCCTTCCCACCACCATTCTATCTCTAACATTCATGTTAACAACAATTTGGATGTTCATCTCTCATTTTATCTCACTCACAACGCACCCCTGCTTCCAACCCACACCTACAAGCTTCCCCCTTTCTCTGTATCTCACATCATACAACAATGCATGCTAAGCTCTTCACTCTCTTTGTCTCACCTCTCATAGCCAGCTTCCATGAAGAACCCACACCACAGCTAATGGAAGGCAACTATTGTGTGCTAGGGAGAAAGACGTAGAGATATTGATAGAGGAAAAAAGGAGAAATGGTGGGGAACTTTGGAATTTTAGGTAGAGGGAGAGAGGGAGAAGTAGAGGAATGGGAGAGAGAGCGAGAGGAAGTGGGGTTGTTGCGCAGAGAAGTGGGGGAGAGAGAGAGATAGAGGGAGAGGAAGAGAAATGGGAAAGAGAGAGAGTGGGGGAGAGAGAGAGATAGAGGGAGAGGAAGAGAAATGGGAAAGAGAGAGAGAGGGCGTGTGTAAGGGGGTAGTTTGTAGTGTGTTAGGGTTAGGCTTTTGAAATTGTTGAGAGGAAAGAGGGAGATTAAGGACCGTCCAATACGCACTGAAAGATTATAGATATTGGGCATTCCTCAAGCTATATGCAAGCCAAAATTTCTTACACTTTCGGTATGTCAACTACAACGTCATGTAATGGCCCATATTGAATCTGGTCCGATTTGATGATCACGACTTTATTTTGTATTTGAATTTTTATTTTCCTTTACAAATTCAAATCACTTGAAATTTTAGGTGTTCATTCTTCTCATCAAGGCGTACCTAATAAAAATAAATAAAAATAAAAATACGTACAATATAAATTACCAAAAATAAGAAACATTTTAAGGCAATTTTGGCCAATTTATATTTTACGAATTATGTTTTTGATATTTTTATCAGATTCTCATATTTTTTGAAGAATAGGCGCTCAAAATTTCAAATGATTTGGATTTGTTTAAAGAAAATGAAAATACAAAATGAGGTCGTGACCATTGAATTGAGTCCGGATTGAATCTGGACCGTTGGCTAACACTGTAGCTGTCAGTTCATGGACTGACAAGNTTTTTCCCCCCATATAT